GCCTCCAGGTTGGTGTCGGGGAAGAGCTTGGCGCACTTGACGAGGAGCAGGTCGTACATCTTGGTGACGAACTTGGTGTTCTCGCGGGTGTTGTCGGCGATGGCGACCAGGGCGTGCAGCACGGTGTTGCCGCGGGAGTCCTGGCGCCGCAGGTCCGCCTGCTTGTGCCCGTTCTCCGTCAGGTAGTGCACAATGTGGGGCTGGTTGGTGCAGGCGGCCAGCGACAGGGGCAGCTCGCCTGGGGGGACACCACGCTGTTGGGCACCCTCCATGGGGACAGCCCCAGGGTGCAGCCGGACCCCCTGCTCACCGAAATAGAAGTAGCCACCCTCATCTTTGGGCTGGAAGAAGCGGCCGCGGGCTTGGGCATGGACGTCGGCTCCTTTCTCCACCAGCAGCTCCACGTAGTGCTTGCAGCGGCGCTCGATGGCGATGTGCAGGGCTGTCTGACCTGCGCCAACAGCAGCCATCAGCCCTCGCATTGCCCCATGGCTTCCCCCGGGTCCCCAACCTTCCTGAGGTATCTGGGCTCCCCAAGTCCTCCAGCATTTTCCATGCTTCCCAGGATTCCCGCTTCTCTGGTCCCCAGGCCCTCCAGCATCCTCCATCATCCCTGGGGTCCCTGCTGTGCTGGTCCCCAAGCCCTCCAGCATCCTCCATCCTCCCCAGGACCACTATTGCCCTCGTCCTCAAGCCCTCCAGCATCCTCCATTGTCCCCAAGGTCTGTGCTGCTCCAGTTCCCAAGACCTCCAGCATCCTCCATCATCCCCAGGACCCCCACTGCCCTGGCCCCAAGCCCTCCAGCATGCTCTATTGTCCCTAAGGTCCCTACTGCTCTGGTCCCCGAGCTTTCCAGCATCCTCCATCATCTGCAACATCCCCTCCCGCTCTGGTCCCCAGGTCCTCCAGCATCCTCCAGCATCCCTGGTGTCCCTGTCACTCTGGTCCCTAAACCTCCCCAGGTTCCCCCATTCCCATGCAGGATCGGCGGTGACCCTGCATTCCCCTACCTCGGTAGTAGACGTCCCTGAAGGGTGAGTTGATGAACTCCCGCATGTTGCCCGTCTTCTCGGCGATGTCGAGGAGGAGGGGGATGGTGTCGTTCCTGCCCCCGCTCAGGTTGAGCAGCGCCTTGGGCAGGCAGGTCTTCCCCGTCGAGGGCTCTGGGAGTGGAGGGTGCTGAGCAGGGAGCCAGGGCGAGACCCCCCCCAGGCCATGGGGTGCCCACCCCTGCACCCCTGTGCTTCCCAGTCAAATCCACTGCATGCTGCAGCCCCCCGTGCTGAGGCTGAGCATCACCAACCCCACAGGGATCACAGTACAGCCCTGCCACCACAGATGGGTCCTCCCCTCGAAACTCTTCGTCTGTCCGGCGCTTCTTGTGGGTGAGGCGGAACGACATGAGCCCGTCG